TCATATGGGAGAAGTCGTTCCTATCCATGGCAACGAACTTCGGAGGTTCAGGTAGTCTACCCGCGATGGCGTGGATTGACTACAAGTGCTACCAAGTGTGACGGGGTCACACAGCACCTTGCGCTAGAGGAAGTTATCTTCCGAGAGTATACAAACTCTCAGTGAACGGCAGTTCACTGGTCCCCTCTTTAATTAAAGAGAGCGAAGTGACCTAAATAAGGTAGATTGTAAACTGAGTATATTTATAGGTAGGTTAAGTTTGTGGTTCATACAAACTATCAGTTACCTATAGAAATGCAATGTCATTTAACCAATGGTTGGTTTTGAATGACCTTGGTACCTTGTACCAAATATCCCGGAGTATGACATGTCATACTCCTGAAGTGTGAAGTGTCACACTTCATGTAACCAGGGTACACTTAGTGCTACGTACCCCGTTACAACCCTTCTCGGTTGCATCGAAGACTAAGTGATAGCAATATATTGTGATTATTGCAGTGATTATTATTGTGTTGCCAGGTATTGCAGTCTTTATTACGGATGTGATTCACGCAAAATAACACTGGGTATTGTATTTCCCATGCCCTGGTTGCGAGCTGTGTCCGCATACGATGCCCGCCACGGATGATACCGAAGACGACGAGTCTGTGAGTGACGTGCTGGGTCCTGGTGCCAGTGTTAGCACTACGTCTGGTGAGACTCCAGACCGCTGACGGTAGCAAATAAGGGTTTCGGCCTTCTTGACGACCTTGCACTGCGAGCGTGGCAATAATCGCCGCTGTTTCTGCTGGTGGGATTCGTAATCCACTAGAGTCTTTGAAAGTGTCTGCCTCACAGCCAGTTAATCTGCTCGGCGTGCGCTTCAGACAGGGTGGGGTAGTTACTGAACGGCGCACGAGGCAAAGGGAACTTCATCTGCTAATAGTTCTCGCCAGAATTGATGTACAGTATATACTTGAAGAGAACGTCCTATTATACCTGGCGAAGTTGGCTGCAACCGCTGACATTCGGTGCAGCACCTGCACTCAATCGTGCAAGCTGTTTGCGCCCAGGGTCGGCAGATTTTGAATTCACCCCTTGCGTGAGCACAAGGCTCTAAGCCACCTGCATCGGTGCACCCACCCCGAAACGAAGATGGCGAAAGCGGTAAGCATAATACGGCAGTGGGCAAATGAGAACCACGGTTCAAGCGCCTTCTTGGCTTTCGCTGCGATGCAGTGTTCAGGTTCCGTTACAACTGTCGCGAATAGGAACGGCTGGCTGGTCAAAGTTGCCAAGGGAATGCCTTCACGAGACACGCAGAAGAGGATTCTTCACCACTGCCCGGCGATAAATGAGTCTTTAACGGACACTTGCCCGTCATTTAGGTCCAAGTCGGTTGTACATGCATTCACCCCAAAGTGAGCCCGACGGCACTGACACGAAATATCCACTCGCTCACTTGCAGGAACTTCATGCTGGGAAGCAGCAGAGTTGTACGGCAATATGTGGGCAACGTTTGCCTTGAGCCATATCCGGTAGAAACAATCGTGGAATAAGGCTCGTTCGTCCCCATGGCTCTAGCCGAATCATCAGCATGAACCGCACGAAAAAGCTGTTTGTCCACCCGAGCGGGCGTTTGTTTTGCCCTGTTCTCGAGTCGAGCAGCGAGAATCTCGACGATTGCCTGTTACTTCACTTTACACGTAAGCGATTGGCTGTCAAGAAACATAAAGGTATTTAATGCTCGCACGGAGACTAATGAAAACGAAGACAAAAGACTAGCAAAGCTAACGTTTGTTTTGTTTCGAAATCAATTGGTTGCACCAGCTTCGCGATAAATATCACAGCTCATAATGGCGCCTATTTCTCAATGCCGACGGTCATAGCACGCGTCGAGCGCAGACCCACCACGTTAAAAGCGAACGGTTGAGAGAATGTCCGTACGCCGCGAAGGTTTCCTGTCGTGCCGTCCGGTGACGCCTTGGACATGCGGCCACTGTCGCGCTCCTTGAATGCCGCCTCCGTGTTCGCTCGTGCCACCTGGTAAGTCGACTCTACCACGTTGTGAAGGTCCTGCATCTGCTGGAAAAGCTGGTGCTGATAGTTTGCTTCACCGTCGGAGGACGGGACCGTCGTGTGTGCACGGTGCAGGCGCGGCTTCGGGTCCTCCTCCGGCTCGGGCTTGGACTTCGGCATCTCGTACTGGGACAACATCATGGCGTGCACTTCGGCGATGGGCGCAGCTTCCACCACCTTCACATCCCCAGCCGCTGTCTCGTCTTGCTGGTCGTCATTCTCATGAACCGGCATTGCCATCACCACGGATTTTTCCAATGCCTCTGTAGGCAGCTGTTCCGTATCGTCCTGAGTCTGTTCCGGGGGGCGTTGGTTCCTCTTCTCTTGTGGACTCCCGACAGCCTTCTCGTCGGGCTCCTGCTCCGCTGAGTTCTCATCATCCTTTGGCTGCTCCACATCATTCACTTCTTCGTCACTATCTTCATCTTCTTCTCCTTCGACGATTGGAGACTCGCGCTGCGATTGAGGCGCGTCGCTCGTAGGAGTATCACACGTTTCGTAGTTATCGTCCAGCACAGCTACCGACGACGCGTAACTCGATCGCCCCTCACCGTCGTCACCGCTCTCGAATCCCCCATAGTCTTCTGACCCAAAGTCCTCGTTCTCAAGCTCGTCTACAAGGTCCTGTTCACCCACCGACAAGACATAGTCCAGGTGACGCAGGCTGCGGATGGTCATGGTCATGCGGTGATCGAGCACTACAGGCTCCTCGCCTTCAGTTTTGTCGTGTTCAGCAGCTGCAGCCTTGTTCTTGTTACTATGGCGGATGCTGCTGCTGTCCCTGCCGAGGTCGGCGAGCGACAGCACATCATTTGTCAGCGTACTGCTTGACAAGGGACCAGCGCTCGTACTGAGCGTGGTGAGCACGAAGTTCTTCGACAATCGGGCACCCGAGCTGGGGCGTTGCAGTGGAGTCGAGGACCGGGTCGACGTGGATGGACGGGGACCAACCGAGTAGCCTAGAGCTGATTCCTCTTGCTGAGGACCGCGGCTCTGGCTGAAGCTGCTCGTACCACGGCTAAAGCTGCTGGGGCCTCGGCTGAAGCCGAGGCTGCTAGTGGCAGTACTACCGCGGCTGTTCATGTCGCTACCTCGGCCGAGCACCACCGTAGCGTACGTGTTCCTTTCCGATGAGAAACTGTTTCTCATAGTCGATCTGGAGATCGCCGAAGATGCACGCGTACGGCCACGTTCGCGGACCCAAAGCTCCTGGCGAGCGATCTCTAGAGCACTCTCATCGCTAACACTGGCGACGCACTTTTTGCAAAAGTTAATGGACGACTGTGTGACCTGCGAATTCAGAGTATTACTGCTGAGCTTACGCACAATGCGGCAGCGGCTGCAGATCTGTTCGCAGCACAGTTGACACGAAATGGACTTGGACAGCACGCCCAGTTTCCCGCGGCAGACACCGCACTGACGGCGTAGAGTTGTGGAGCTGTAGTTGCTGCGTTGAGATACAGGCTCCATCGCGCTCGATTCGCGCAAACTTGACTCGTTCACTGGGGTAAGCGCGGAGAGTCCGCCTCGAGACGATCTGACAACGCTGGCGCTTAATAGTGCGTGGCCACCTCGAGACGAAGTGATGCCACTGGTTCCCATTGTGGACGGACGTTCATTTTCTAGACAGAATGCGAGCTTCTTGTTATGTGCGCAGGACACAGATTTCCAGCAGTTGCTAAGCGCCGTTGCCGCTGACCGCACGGCCATACGGTTGAGTACATGCCCACTCGGGTCAACGGAAGCCGTCATGTATACCTGTACACGGTTGTTGCCCGTCTCCTCGAAAATATAGCAGCTCGACACCTTTGCGCGCAGGATACGGTGCTCGTGCAGTTCACGACATGTGGAGATATCCACTGAGTGCATGAGGTGGAAGCCTACGCGGGAGTTGTCGGGACGCATCATCACGCCGGAGAACTCCAGGACAATGAAATCACGGGGAAGGACGATGCGTGCAGCGCCGCGGTGCTTAGCGCGCACGAACCACTTGATACCCAGAAAACGGAACGGGTCGGCAGGTGACGGACTCTTGATCTCACGCAGCACAGCGCAGTCGGCGATGTGCTCGCCAAGATACGAGCTGCGGAGGCGAACGGACGATGCGTTAGGTGACACGACGCCGTACATGACGTCGTCAAGGGAGCCACGCAGGTTACCCACGGCGAGTAATCTCGGTAACCCGGAGCTAGCAGTGTCATCGTCAGTGCTGGAAAAGGCCGCGGTTGTGATACGTGGCTCCGACAGCAAGCCGCCGCTGCTGTAGCTGTCGTTGCCGGTTGTATCGCGGCTGTCTTCGGTGGGGTCCGTGCCCTTGGTTTTCTTGGGTGACGGAGGCATGAAGCCGCGTCCGCTGTTAAGAGATATGGTGTCAGAGGTCAAAGGACCTGACCGGCGTGCATTCTGACTGGGGCGGCTGCTGGCCGCGGAGATGGCGCTTTGATACAGCGCGAGAGTGGCCGGAGCCTGATCCGGCTGCCGCACGCCGTCTATGACTCGTTCCCGATAGATGGACACGCCGTCGCGCGTGCGCACAGTTTTCCATCGCTTGGTGTCCACGCGCTTGCGGTCGTGCATGACAAACTGGTCATACTCGGTGAGTGTGGCCTTAATGAGCGCATTGGCGAGCTGCTCGTAGCTCTGCTCCTGGTTGTCCGAAAGTTCCAGCGGTGGGAAGATATTCTTGGGCAGCGGAAACTTCATGGTGGTGTCCACACGCAGCTGTTACCGTTTCGTTTATTGAAGTAGTCAGAGTGACGCGGTCTGAATGGACACCAATCGTCTTGTCAAGCTTAGCGCGACTGGCAAGCAGGCAAGATGAAGTTGCGAGCGTGGCGATATACTAGCGCAATATGCTAGTCCCGGACCGGGTGGGGCGAACAATTCCTGCCCGCGGCCGTTTGGTGAATGACACGACGGCGGAAGAAGCGTGGCTCGCTGGCTTCCTGTCTCCCCTCTGCAACATCGGCGAGCAGATCTCTAAGCACGTTTGCAATGTGACGACGGGCGCGACGTTGTCTGTCCACGCCTATCATCTTGCAAATGCAAGAGGCGGCCGTACCGCCACATGCTCGACAATGGTTTCCTTAGTATTCCCTTTCTAGAGCAGCCTATCAAGTGGCATGCATGTCGTTGTGAGCTGGGTCTCAGGGCAAACGACTGCAACCTCGCATGTGACTTACAGGAATGCTCTCTCGCTCACTTGCTTAATAGCGCTCGTGTCATGATGGCATGGTCAACGATGGCTTGTCAGCGAGCAAATACTGCTGCCTTCAAGTAACTTTAAATAAGTATAATATGTACTTCGCAGTAAACTGTTGAGCAAAAAATTAGAGAGGCGACATCTGATTCTGAAAGGGGCCGCCAGTCCCGGTAAAACCCTGTGGTCTCAGTAGAAGAGAGGAGGAATTTCCAGAAAACAGTACAAAGTACTGTTTTCTTCCAGTCTGTACAAATAACTCTGGGATATAGCTACCATATTTCCAGACAGTTATTGAACAAAAAACCAGTACACTTAAGTTCGCAGCTAATAATTTAATTTACAAACCACTTTTCCAGCAACATTTACTATTAATTACTATTAATGGTTTATTTCTTACTTATCTTCAGCTCCTTCGACTCTGTTTCTTTATATTAAAAATATACTTTCTTTCCTATAAAAGTATTTACATTTTGTAATTGCAAACCAAATTTTAGCTAAATATTATCTTTTAAACTTTGCTTCACAAGTCATATTTTAGAAGCACTTCAGATCGTCCAGTATTGAAATTTCGAAATTGTGATCCGATAACATTTTCAGTTGTTGCCTTGGGGTGTCTATACTAAAAATTGTGTGAAACAGTGTTTCTTGTTTGCGAGTTATAAGATCTCGATTGCAGCGTCCCAGACTTGGACATTAAAAAATTGAATTCTTTAAGTGTATTTGTGTTTTGTGAATTATAAGTACGTTTTTTGCCACCTTACCATCTGCTGAGTGAGCGGAGGGCAGAACTCTTTCGGTCAGGTTTTAAAACAGCAGTGTACACCGTCCATTTTACTTAGGCTGATTCTCAACCGGCACGACCGCACCGCACCGCAGCGCATGGCTTTGTAACATGCGGCCGCATCGGTTGAGACCAAAACCAGCGACTGCGAGCAATTAATAACGACAGCTGGTGGTTACAAATATATATTTAGTGATCTCAGCCGGCACATTCCAAGACTCCACCAGCAAAGAGTAAGTGAACCTGGACTTCATGTATATGTATTTTACTAGCAGCTCACTAGTCATGTTGCTGCATACAGAATGTCATCTCCTGGACGGGCAGCGCGTACGCCCAGCGCGCTATCACAGCACGGACTCTGGCCGGCTAACCATTTGCAGCACGGACTCTGGCCGGCTAACCATTTGCAGCACCAAGGCTGGCAAGGCTCGCAGCTTGGCAACTCCTCGCAGCATGAACTATCTGATGCTGAACTCTTCCTCCTCGAAGCCTCACACCACGGGCAACATGAACTCCGGTTGCAGCGAGATATGTTGCCGTATGCAGAACAGCAGCAGCATGCGCTTGAACAACAGCAACTCGAGATGCAAGAACCAATGCCGCATAGACTATTTGAGCTCGACAGCCAGAATGAAACATTTTTGCAGAACGTATTGAATACATGTGATCAACCCGCATTTTCCGACGGCCCGCAACACGCAAGAGATGGAAAGCGAAGTAGAAAGCCAATACCACAGGCAAGTGTGGACAGCTCGTGGTCAGCAGATGAAATAAGGAAAGAGTGCACACGCAGAGGTCTGCGGGTGAAAGCAAAATTAAAAAGACCGAGCGTATCGACATTCTCCTTCGGCACGACGTTGCGAAAGCAGCTTTCGGTAGTGTACTTCTTGGTGAGGATGGATCTTCGAATGGCAAAGTGTGCAAAACTGCAATCGGCACTCGGACTAAACGCTGCATGTATCGCCTACTCAATATTCTGTTTTCTGACGACCTTGCCGCTCGATTCAGCGAGTCTGGGAATAAACCTCCTCGTGATGACCTGGACACAAGATCTGTGAGCGACAAAAGCAGTTTCTGGTTGGACGTTCGGTCTGCTTTTATGCATACGTACCCTGAAGACCACGCATTACATCAATTGGTAGCTGAGGACGATTTCTTTCTGGGCATTGACACATCTACATTCAAACCACATTCAGCAAAGAAACTCTATGAAATGTGGAAAGAGGTCGACAAACTCTACATTATTGCCGAGAGGAAGTTCACGACGTCGAAGCAGCACGAAAACGAGTTCCGCAATTTCGTCAATGGTTGTGGATACGTACTGTACTTGCAGAAATGTCTTAACGTAAGTGTTAAAACTGTGAATTGTGTATATGTGCATGCTTAACGAGTGCTTTAGCTGAAACCAGAACTTAGAAACTTCGCAAAAGGTGGACTCCTGTCCACAGACGAGTACGATACCCTGGATGACAACGGAGAAGCTGTGTTCAAATCACCGGCCGCCAGACCTACACCGTCTAAAGGGAAACGTGGGAATAGCGAGCACATGGAGGTTTTTACCGGGGCGTTTGTAGAGTATGTGAAGGATCGTCGGGTGGAAGCTGAGCGTGCCGGTACTTCGGCCTCCACACATCTACAAGAAAAGTCTTGCATTTTGAAAATGCTTCGGGATATTCGCCATCAGCTGTCAGAGCTTGACACAGAGATGGCAAATGCAGGCGAAGCAACAATGGAGAGGCTTAAAGAGGATAGAGCCCTTCTTCTTCGTCAAAGACAGTCGCTAATTGATGATTTAAAGGGCAACGAGAATTAGTTCATGTCTTGGAAAGATGAACAGACACATATCTTGGGAAGCTGAGCAGATACATATTCATTTGATCATACTATTACTTGTTGCTATCCATTTGCATTCTACGCTGAATGTTGCGACCAGGACGATGTAAATTGTTCTCTTCTATATGCTGGACTAATATATCTCGTGATACCGCATCTAGAAGCTCAATGAGGTCGCCGTCTTCCGTTTCGTACTGAGTATTGCAGTAATTAAGGTCTCTCGAGCCGTTCCATGAGCGTAGGTCTCTTCGCATCGCAATAATTTCACGCGACACAGTATCAGGATTTTCAATTGAGTTTTGATCGATGCAAAAATTGTGAAGCCGCATGCAAGCATGAATTACATGCGACGCATTAGACAGCTTTACACAAAGTGGCCTTTTCAAAACCCTCCACTTGTTGACGAGTAACCCAAAGGCCATCTCTATCCGGATTCGACATTGGCTCAAATAAAAATTGTAGTTGTCGCGCTCAGGATGGCCCTTCAATTGGGCTTGGGTAAAAGGCGTCATGACCACTCTAGATTGAGAGTATGCATTATCGGCGACAACAAAGTAAGGACCTTGTAACCTCGAAAGAACTTGACTGAGAGACCACTGCAGGAAAGCAATAGAATCATTACGACCACCCGGAGAGCGGCAAGCCATGGCCGTGAATTGGCACATGTAATCTGCACAAGCTTGGACATTAAGACCATATCTTTGATAGTGCCCGGAAAAAAAGAGACTACTCGCCCACATTCGCTGGCCCGAGGAACGCGAATCGGGCAAAGCCAGCCATCGATTGCTCCAATGCAACCAGGCATGACACCACCAGTGCTGACAGATCGAAATCCAGCTGCTGTAACCTCCATTTCGTCATCACTAGTAGGAAACTTGATAGCTAGCTTTTGGCAGGTATTGATTGCGCGTAGCACAGCATGTACAATTCTATAGAAACCAGCGCGACTGGTCCCTGTAATAACCCGAATATGATGGTAGCTACCTCCAGCGAGCCACGAAATACAGGCTTGTAGCATACCAGCAGGTGACACTGGAGGCTTTCCACGGACCCGTCGTGCCGATTGCAACGGGTCCATGACCAATGCTCCACCTACGTTCAACAGCAAACGTTCAAAAGCCTCAGAGCTCATTCTGTAGTACTGTTTGAATTCGCCTTCCAAAACTAATCGCTCAGCATGTGAATTCCAGTTGATACGATCACGAACTGTCTGCATTTCATCGCTTCTGTTATCGTTGCTGACCAAAAATGATGCGAGAACAGGTAAAATTAAATAAAAAACTCGTTTTCTTCAGCTTTCAGTAGTAGTTGTAAGTTAGACATGGTAGTGAACGAATGTGTACCTCGCGAACGAAAGAGGAAGTGATCTTTTTAAGGTTGAAGCAGACACCCCCATAAGATCGTGAGTCACAAATTATTTTGATTGGTTATTGTTCACTCGACCCCTACACTCTACTGTGCGGCAAGTTTAGCGCATGCGGGCAAATTGCCGCATGAGCGTCTTTTTATGAGCTTCGTCGCGTGCGACCACCTACCCCGTAAGCCAATTAGAAGACTCTATTTGTCCTCCTGCGGCCGCATGCGGAAATATAGTCGTGCTTCGAAATCAATCGTGCATTCGCGCTTTAGTGACGTCACAAATCTGGGATACTTTAGAAGGCTCATCAACTCTAAACAAAAGCAACGGTTTTGGACAGATCTCGTTATTCTAGTATGCTTGGTTTGTGTAACGGGGTACGTAGCCCTAAGTGTACCCTGGTTACATGAAGTGTGACACGTCACACTTCAGGAGTATGACACGTCATACTTCGGGATATTTGGTACAATGTACCAAGGTCGTTCAAAGCCAACCAGGTTAACGACATTGCATTTCTATAGGTGACTTATAGTTTGTATTAAACCCAAGCTTTAATCTACCTATAAATATACTCAGTTTACATTCTACCTTAATCAGGTCACTTCGCTCTCTTAAGAATAAAGAGGGGACCTGTGAACTGCCGTTCACTGAGCGTTTGTATACTCTCGGAAGATAACTTCCTCTAGCGCAAGGTGCTGTGTGACCCCGTCACACTTGGTAGCACTAGTAGTCAATCCACGCCACCGCGGGTAGACTACCTGAGCCTCTCCGAAGCTCGTTGCCGTGGATAGGAGCGACTTCTCCCATATGAACGACTCTCAGTTCGAGTCGGTTCGGAAGATGGCAGGCATCTTCGGGATGG